AAGATTAAATGAATTCTTGTTTTAATGAGTTGTAATCTTAGGACTTTTTTAGTGCATAAATACTTAAGATCTTAAGATTTATGCCTAGTAGTCTATTTATTGTTATCTAGATAGTTCTATTTTTAATTGAGCCACTACTCATAATAAAATTTGTCATTGTTTTTGTGAGGAAGGTATATACACCACCTCTCCTTGCATCTATACTTCTATCTATGTTATATTCTTTAATAGCTTCTTTAATCCAATATTTTCTTTTAGGCCAAAGAGAGGATCATACTATTTATACTTTACTTCCATGGAATTTGTCTTCTTCAAAAAATATTATATTTATCTTTTTTTTAATATTTTTTATATGATTTTTTTACTCTCAATTTTTTATATACATTGTTTGAATCTTGTACATTCTATATCATGGCTTTGATGATCATAAAATTATTTGGAGGGATGTTGGATATAAGGAGAGATTTTGGCTCATATTACCTTTGTTAGTCAATTTGAGGGAACTCACCATAAATATGATTGTGTTGGATGTATTCCTATATGATAGACTTTTGTTTCTACTTCTTTAATAGAAGCTTGATAAAGTAGGAGAATCTAGTTCCAATCCCCATCATGGTTATTATTCAAGATAGTAGCTTATGTAGTATATAGGTGAATCAAATCTCTTTCCTACAAATATAGGATTTCTATTGAGGTTGAAGTTATGAACCAAGGTTAAGAACAACCTAGTTATAATTGGTGTTCTTACTACTACTTTATAAAGATTTGTATTTCTCAAGCTTATCCTTGTTGAGATATTATGTATGCTTTGAAATAATTGCTAGTTTTTAAATATTGATGGAAGAGCTATGTATTTTGTATAGATTTCTTAGATTGTTTCTTTGATATGAAGTAATTCTCATAGTCTTGTTCTGAAGGTCAGCTCATTATTGGTTACTTGAGTAGCTATTACTTCTCTCTGAACAAGCTACAATGTTGATACATCATTAATAGGAACTTGGCTATTGACAATACTTCTTTGATAATGATTTCATGAATCTTTGTCATTGACTTAGCCAATAGTAGAATTATAGACTAGATTAGTGAATCTAAAGAGTATAATTTTTTTTAATAGGATTAGAAGTATCTAAACTTATATTCTTATTATTAGTTGTATTTGTGGCCAATCGGTCTTATGGAAGATTAATGGAGTTGTGATCATCAATTTTGCTCACTTCTTTTATTTGTACCTCTGTTAATTTTGCTATAATGATTGGAAGTGACTCAAGGTCTTAAAGTTGTAATGGTCCTTGCATTGCTTTCTTTTTCTTGTGAATTAATGTGAATCCATTTACATTGAATTTTGATATGGTATATTTTGTTGTTATTATGCCCAAGCTATGGTATTGATATTGTATATATTTTTCTAAGGTGTTATTTGATTTTATTTGTTGATTGTGTTGATATTGCAGCTTTGTATTTTTGTCACTTTGGTCACTATTGTCTATAACTTGTTTTGGGTTGTTTTATCTTTAGAGGTAATTTTGCATTATATGGTCTCTATTTAAGTACATTCTACACCAAATTGGAAGATTGGAGTAGTGTATTAGTACCTTAGTCATTTTTTTGATCTATTGATATTCAATTCCAAGTTTGATTTTCTATCCTTAACTAGTATCAAATGCGACACAAAATTTGGATTCAGTAAATATGTTATTATATATATATATATATATATAAAATTTTTTAATCTTTAATTAAAGATTATAAGAAATTTTAAATGCAAATGCATTGAATTACCATGATAAGTTCTTGAGGGACATCGAAATTAGAATCAATATACTTTAGTGTCAAGGACATGAATCTTGAAAAAAAAAAATCCTCAATACACTCTTGTATCATTGAAATAAACTAAAAAGTCACTCAAATATGATATAATATTGAACTAAAATGGCTATTGCCCAAAATAAGAAGATTAGAAAGACTTGAAATAAGACTAAAAACTAAAAAGGTATTGTCAAGAGTGAAGAAGGCTTTACTTTTACCTCCATATATATTCTTAACTAAGTGCTATGTGGTGATGTCCTATAAAACTCCCAAAATATATTGACTTTGCAAGACACGTATCTTAACATACAAGGCAAGTTTTTTATATGTATATTACATAGTTAGTTTGTTTCGCAAGCTAGAAGAAGGTAATCTGCAACCTCTAATAAAAATTTTTGACAAAAATAGATAATTCACTCTCTTTAAGAAAAAAATCATTGTTAGAAAATAAGATTTTTTTATTTAAAGGTTGGTAGTCTGTAACTTTCAAAATACAAAAATAGAAGTAGAGTAATCCACTCAGTTCTAAAACAAGACAAAAATAATAAGTTAGTACTCTTATCAAACTATGAAGAATACGAATTTTGAAGAAAAAAAATCCTCAATACACTCTTGTGTTATTGAAGAGAAGTAGAAAGTCACTCAAAGATGATATAATATTGAACTAAAATGGCTATTGCCAAAAACAAGAAGACTAGAAAGTCTTGAAACATGATTAAGGACTAAAAAGGCATTGACAAGAGTGAAGAAGGCTTTACTTTTACCTCCATATATACTCTTAACTAGGAGCTACATGGTGATATCCTATAAGACCTCCAAAATGTATTGACTTTGCAAGACATGTATCTTAACTTATAAGGCAAGTTTTTTATATGCACGCCACATAGTTAGCTTGTTCTGTAAGCTATCAATATGTGGTAAACTTGTTGACTAAGTTTATAACCTATAAATCAACTACAAATACATATTAAGTCAAAACAACGTCTATAAAGCTTCTACGAAGCTTCTCTAGAAGGTCTTATGAAATTAAATTATTTTAATCTATTTTTACATACTCCTACCTAATCATATATGTATTTATTAGAGTATCTATGTATTTTTGTGTTACTTGGCTGCTCTTAGGACAAAAATTATATATCACTATTAGAAATTGCATAGTGTGATATTATATCTATATAGTATAAACATTAGTACATATTTGGCAATAGTCAAGTTTAGTATGGAGAGAGAAAAGAAGCCATAGCCTAAGTCATTGATTATCACCATGCATCCATTTGAAAGTGTAGAATTGAAGTATGTAAGCCATGCCACAATTGCATTCTTTTTTGGTTTACTTTTGATGAAACAAACCACGACTATGTATACATGTATGTAGCGCTCTTTTGTAGCCATGACTTTCTCTAAAATTTAAATGCATTTATTATGGGTATTGATTACAAAGCTTGCATACTTTCTTGCAAAACATGTTGATAGCTCTTTGTCTTCTTGTAATTTTATTGGATTAATATAATCTTGGCTATCTTGTGCACAATTCCATTATATTAGGATTTCATTGATTGTATCATTAGGCATTCTTTGGAGCCTAAAACTATGTCCACTATGGTTGGATGGATTTCTAATACTCACTATCCATTTGGATTACATTTGTATAACTAATTAGTTCTATTAGTTGATTGGAATCCTAATCCTATAAAGGTTCTTTGTCTTTTATCAGTGCTCGCATCTTCTTTTGGACTTGAACTAAAATGAAAGAATGCCTTCATTAATTATTATAATTCAGATTTAGAGACAAGTAAGAGAAATTGTTGCTAAATTATGCTAAGATTAGTCAAATGAGTATCATTGCAAGGACTAATTAGAGCAAATAAAGAACAATCTTCACTCCATTACACATCACTTTCTTACCAAAATGTACAAATTTTTATTATTCAAAGTACATACCTCAGTTCTCAAAAGTAGTTAGATTATAGAGATGATTGAAGTAAGAGTATTAGAAATCTTTCCAAATTAGTTCCTCAAAAGTTTGATAAAAATTGTTTGTATAGTATTTCTAGCTTGTAGGTAATTTGGTTTTTTTTAGAAGTTGTAAACTAAAGGTTGCAAATATGTGACTATGAAAAGTTCTTCTACTTTACTTGGTTCAATTTAATGATCAATTTTTAAAGCTTGATTTGATATTTTGTGATTTTGAAAGAATTACAATTAAATTAATATTGAACTGCAATAACTACCTTTTCAAATCTCCTTTCATGCATAGAGAGCGTATGAATGATTTGGATTGTGAATCTTATTACATCATATTTCAACAACTTGATGTGTCATGTGCCTTTTAAAAAAATTTAGAATACGAAATTTTAGATAAAAATATGTTTTTTTATAAATATCTTTAAAATATATTTGGAGGTAAAATATTAAAGTTAAAATATAATATAAATCGATAATGGTATCATCAAATATACTATGTGAGTAAAATTTTGAATTGTATTTTTAAAGTATATTTTTATAATAGAAGACATTAATTTCTTCTATAAAAGATTCATATTTTAGAATTTAATATTTAAAAAATCATAAATACTATTTTCTTTTACTTTTTCATTCTAGTTGTGAATCATTAGATGTCAGATGTTCAATAGTACTTTTTAAATAAGTTTCGAATTTGATTTTACACATTTTTATTAACATGTACTAATACTAAGTTTTTATTGATCTTCAAATACATAGTATCATCATGAGTTAATCAATATAATTATTTTGTATCATGTGCAATGTTTTCCAACACCCACAGTAACCATTTGTCAAACTTAGTACAATATGTACATAAAATTATTTAACATCTCATAAAAACGTAGTCACTTCATATTTGATTACAGTAAAATTCTGTCCTATTGAGGTAGTCTAAAGACATCAAGTTCCTTACACTTCTTTATTGTTTTAATGTTTGAGTTATTTTCAAATTCAATTCTTTGATTTCAGATTATTAGCATCAATCACAATTACAAGTTTTTCATGTGACATATAAAAAAAATAAAAAAATAAACATTTTCCTTTCATGCTGTAAGACATTCTACGAAGGGAAACAACGTTTTGAACAGAATGATGCTTCAGAATGTCACATTTCTTTGCTTTCATGCCACATTTTTGATCAAACACACATGTTTTATGCTAACATTAGAACACAAATAATCACACCTCAGTTTAAAATCCTACCGAAATTTACTACTTTTGATGAGATTTGACAGATTGGTACACGGGGATGTATTGTAGAGAATTCAAAGAAAAGAAAAGAATGCACAAGGTTTTGGGACAACACCCAATTGAGCTGCATTAAAGACAGTATCAGAACAAGCCTCGCTAACGTTAGAAAGCGAAACTAAGGAAGCTCAAACTCTTGCAGCGTTAGCAATGGCGCAAGAGATGCTTGCCACAACAAACAACGAATTACGAATGGCATTAGAAACCTTGTGGGCGACGATATCGTGGACTTCTTGTGGTCAGGACCACGGTGGTTAAACAAGCTGGGATGAGCTTAGTGCCACTAATCTGCAAATTCAGCCCGTCTGAAACCAGAACAATATGCATGATTTCTGAGGCGACAGAGGGACACACAAAAGACCGAAGAGCTCACCTGTACAGCATATCTTCAATCTCCACGGCCATCGTCCATTATGTCGGAGTGTTTAAGGACGCAAACTCTTTTACTTAGTGCCTCTCCATGTGTCCTACTGTCAGTTTTCTGTATTCCTGGGTTTCAGCACAACTCTCTGATCATTTTGAAGCATATGAACTTTCATCAGTTAGTCATTTGTTACAAAGCCGAGCAACAAATGCTTGTCCTTCGAATGTCTCTTAAAGGATGAAAGAAGGCGTCGAATACAGCATTGTTGAACTCTCATAGGATTCTTCGTGACAAAATAACAACGTAAATAGTGTATACTGGATGTGTAAATTTTAGACTCTAAGCAATAGAGAACTTGCTTACAACTCTAAGGTCGCTGTCCGAACTCCATACGAACAAGTACAACTAATGCGATCAGAAGGTGGCACCTGTGTTCGAAAGGAATGACAAGATGTAAATACTTAAGATGTGGCATCCAGATCCTTGGCTTCCTCGGTAATGCAACAATCCCACCGAGTTCACTGCAGAAAGATCGCCCCGCTTCTCTCAACCTGTACCTCCGATTCTAGGTCCATCACTTCACGCCTTCCAATAACCAAACAACTCAGTAGCTGAGCAAATCCATTCTAACCGTCATATTTGCCCCACATGCAATATGTCTTGTTGTACACAATCTCAAACTTATGAAGGACATGGTGGGCCACCCTTTGCGAACGTGTGCAGGGCATCCTAACCGTACCAGAGTTATTTCAATCTTGGCTTACCGTAAAGTGCCTTTGGAACGCAATTATATTGAGATGACCGCTTTCAGAGCGGAAATTCCGAAACAGGAAAAACCAATGGGAACTCAATCGAGATAATTACCACATTTCTGGCTTTTGGTTTTCCCTTTCCGCCCAGCTCTCTCCAAAATATAAGTCAACTTCAGGATCAAGTTTATGTAGATTCTCCCTACGAGACGTGACACACAGGAGGGGGGTACTGATAAAGTCAAATCAAGTCGACGAGATAATTCGCACATATTTTAAAAAAGCTCCGTATTCGTTGCAAAAGCCATTGCAGCAGTTTTTTAAAGCTAGTGGATGCAGATGTATAATCGAGCCGGCAATTCAGTTCGATGTGGATACACTGGGAGTTGGAATCGAGTTCTCACACGAGATCCTCACCCATGGATTATATGTCCATTGAGTTGAGCATTGCTTCGAACACTGAGCAAGCAGTACTCCGCAGCAGAGGGATCCCAAACAGAGGACCAACTAAGAATCTCCTTCACTCTCCTTACTGCTTTCCCCGCCTCCTCCAGCACCACCTTCCTTCCCTCCAAATTCCAGTAAAGGATGCCTTCAGCTAACGGAGAAGGCTCCGTTGGCTCCATTTAATTCTAGTGGCGGTCAATGGCGATGGTGCTCGAGGAAATTCTTTAACACCTGCCCATCTTCCTATTATCTACTCAATGGCTCCCCCAACAACAAGCCCAGGGCACGCACATCAGAAACAGAAACCTCGAACAACAAAGTTCTTCAAATTTCGAGATACTTTGCAGAATTCCATCTGAAAGACACACAACCTCCTCCGGTGCCGTTGAACCACCGCAATTTTTGTTTATATCTCTAATTCTTATTTTCCTCCCGACAGTGTTACCATCTGAAACCAGACATCCAAATTCCTGCCTGTTGTCGCAACTCCCGTGGGCAGGATCCTCCGCCTCGGGTGCACAATCTCAGCTCAGTGTGCAAGTTCTGGCAGCAATGGACAGAGGAAAAGTAAACCCTAGATCCAGAATAAGGGAAACCGACCTTTGAGGACCATTCAATCTACAATCCTTCTTTGTTGTGGTTTCCAATGAGACTTACAAATGTAGGCATACAGACATGAAAATGCACAGAAACGCAATGAAGGAATCAGGAAGAATATTCCTAAAGCTGATAACCGGCAGCTGGCAGTTCGTTTTGTAATTGTGCGAAGATCACCCGAAAAAGCAGAATAAAAATACAAAAAAGGAAAAGTATGGACAGCACATACTGACCCTAAGGGCGCTCCTAACCCGAAAACAACCCATGACCGCAGACCCCGTAACTGTGAACAGAGCTGTACCCTAACCCGAGCGATGGCTCCCTCGCGACGAAGACAGTGGTGCCTTCGCGAAGACAATGCCCGATCGACAGACTCAATCGTGGCTGCAGTGCAATCGTCTCTCCTTCTTCATCGCGATCTTCACATTCCATCATTTCGCAATAGCATCTTCTCTTCCTGTTGCATTCAACCTGCGTTTCAATGCTTGTGTAGTGATATCGCTTCTGTGGCTGTATCAATCGCGAGCTGTGTTCTGTCCACCAGAAATGAATTGCTAGTGCGAGATTCGAAATCTCTGTGCGCTGATTTGAATTGAGGTCTGGTCTGGTCTGGTCAGCGGAAGTGTGGCGAAGCGACAATGATGTCGCAGGAGGAGCAGGATGCTAGGTTGCTGCAGTGGCTCCGGGAGGATCACATTCAGGTGGATAATTTGTTGCACTGGCTCCACGCTCATCACGGCCCGGGTCCGCCTTCTGTCGCGCAGGTACTTGCTTCATTAGCTTCCTATCTCAGAAGTTCTGTTCTGAAATTGCCGGTCATCTATGGCTGGATGGTCTTATTCCTGGTGTACACAATTCCCCTGTTTGGGGAATCCGCACTTTTCTTACGAGATTTGTTTTTCAAACTAAAACAACACATATATATATATATATATATATATATATATATATATTTCATATGTATCATTCGGGTATCTATTGCAGCAGCTCATATCTCAACACTAATAAGGAATATTAGTATATAGGCGTATTGCAGTTGGAATCTTTGGTACTCTCACCCCCGCCTTGGAGTCTCTCTTGCAGCTGATTTCGACTTCGTATAGCTTTCTGCGGAGTTATATCAATGGTTTTGGCAGATTGTTTCTCTAATTTGCTTATTGATGCATCTTTAGGTTAGTATAAGTTGACATGAGCATGCGATTGAAATTGCAATTGAGAAGCTTTTTAGCTGAAATCTTCCTGCGAGGTGTCACTTAACTGAGTCCCACATGTGATATCTTGCGATGATGATGGTGCATACTTAATTAGGGCCTCGCAGTGATCTGTCGTTGCTCCCACAATGCAACAGTGAAATGTTCCCCGTTTGCTTATGAACAGTACCATTTGCAAACAGTTGAGGATTAGGGAAGAAACTCACCGTCTTTGTTCACCTCTTGCTGGTTCCGAATTCAAGTGAAGGCTGACTTGAAAAGAATTTAATATTTCATTTTGATACTTCAGGATCAAGTAACGAAACTCGATGCTTTTACGAGTCATCTGCAATGCGGAGAGCAATTAGCAATAACTACTCCTCAATCTTTTGCTGTAACATTTTTGAATTGTGTCCGAGCGGAAGTGCAACCTCTCTTAGCAATCGCTGATACCAGCGGGGATGTGGTGGTAAAATCTTCTGTCCAACCTACTCAAAGCAAAGAGCCGGAAACCAAGCCGGACGTGAACGCGTGTTTGGAGGTTCTCAAGTCCCCAAAGATTGCCATTGACAGTGTCTCAATTTTCAATGGGAACAAAGTAGTTAAGGATAGACGAAAGTCTACCGGTACGATACTACAAGCCATTCAGGAGCCAAAGCGTTTGGATATGCCAATCTATGATGACGACTTTCCTGCTCTTGGAAATGCGCCAATTTCGAATGCGAAGAAACAAGTTGCTCAGCTAAAGCAGGTAATTCTTTTTACAGTGATGTACTTATCAGTTATCCTGCATTTTTATTTAATTAATGTTTGGTAGAACTTGACGGATTCGCATACATATCTTACTGACTTTTGGCGAGGCTGATGGATGTTCAATCCGCAAACTTGAACAGTTACAAGCTTACGGATTCACTATCTTATTCTTTGACTTGAGAAATGAAAATTTAGATTTTTTTTGTTGTCTCACATTTTGCTAGAAACGGAGGGTCACGCCTACTCCAATGGTGAATCCTGTCGTGGATAGCGCATTCATTTTGGCGAAAGTGGAGGCACCAGTTACTGCTCCACAACATTATGCCAACAAATCCAAATTACCTGGTGCAGGACCAGTGAAAGTGGATATGGATGTCCTCATGCAAAGGTGCGAGAAAACTCGGAAACAAAAACAGAAAGAAAAACCAGAGGTCCCGAAGAAGGAAAACCTGAAAACTTGGAGCTGGGATAAGTTTGATTCACGATCAGCAACAGGTTCCAGTCGGGAAGCATCTGTGAATAATGTAGTTACTGATCCTCGAATTGAAGTAAAACTTGCAGGTAGCATGGAGGATGATCACGCCGAAAGAAAAGACAGTGCCTTTCCGGTCTCTACTCATATCGTAAGCACTTAAATCCAAGTAGTCTACCCGCATGTAAGCATCACTGGATTGCTGATGAGAAAAATTTCTAAATGAAAGTGATGTCTGTTTGCTGGTTTGTTTCTTGTTATTCGATCAGGATTACGCATTTCTTTCTGCTTTTTTGTGCGGATTTGCATATAGGAGCCTAGATTCATCTGGTTTATTTCCTGCAATTTTTTTTAATACAAGGTGTTGAGCTTACGTTCACCAACCCTTGCAGGTGCCAAGAACGAAGTCCATCTCAACTGGTTCTACAAATATTACAACTGTAGACAATGAACAGACATTTTCAGAGTCTAAGAGCTCCATCACAGAGCCTTTACCCTCACATTATCTGTCGAACACAATTATTAACTTCGCTTCAGTGCATGCAACTCTCATGGTTGCTAAATTGGTTCCATCCTTGCTAGAAGAGCTCCATTTTCTTTTGCAACTTCTGAGCCTGGAGCCTATATTTTGTGGAACTAGCTCTGGTGGTTCGAAAAGTGCGCAGAACTCATCAACCGAGTCCAAAAGTGAAAAGTGCCCTCTCTTTGCAACTGGTGATGACTGTGCTGGCTATGCTACGTGTGTATTGGAACAAGCAGGCCGCATATTGGATTGTGGTAAGAATATTGCTGCACCTTGCATATGTGTTGGGCATTGTGGTTAGCTTGCATGAACGTGTTACTTCAACAAAAAAATTAGATCTACATCAGTAACATGGCATCTTACTTGATAGGATCTCTTTGTGCGCATTCGTGTAGTTGGAGAACAGATGCTAGTGGCACTCATCGAGGAACCTGCCATAGCGCGGCACTCTCCAACTCTTATGGTGCGCTTGAAAGCGTCTCTTGCAGACCATCAAGCTGCAGCACTTAGAAGTTTTAAGGCTTATGAGACTGCTAGCCGTAGCAATAATGCGCCTGAGCAGTCCCACACGACGGGTGCAGGCAGGCTGACGCCTGGCTTACCTGTATCCCTTCCTTTTCAAGCTGCACGGGATTCTCGTAATATTTTCAAAACACAGGTGCTTCAATCGTGACATTCTAAAGTGAATTCGTCGTTAGAATCATTAGCTGTTTTTACTGCGGAGACTCTTGGTTACCTGTTCTGTTATTTCACATCCTGTCCTTAAGACATTTATAAGAGTGGCAATTTTTCTTGTTTCATGTGCAGGAGGAGCAGAGGGCTTACAACAACAGGGAACACTGTCGTGACCAATTTTATGCAATTATAAGGGAGGCTGCATCTGCTTACAGTGCATTTGGCTGGAACTCAACTGGTGCTGAAAGTGACGGATATTTAAAAATGAAGGATTCTGTGAGGAATTTCCTACAGGTTCTGCTGGTGGAAAATTATCCCTGGTTTGCTGGTAAAATCCAATTTTTATCATATTTTTGCTACTCTTTTGACGATGCAATCTTGAGCAAGACACTAGTAGCTATGTATGCGAAAGGAGGCTCAAGTTTTGGACAATATCGGCTTCCTTTTGTAGTAATCCATTGTCCTATGTGTTGTATAGTAGAGGATGTGGAACTTCAAGCATTGTGAATGTCATTTAGAAAGTTTGAAGTATGTTTCATATTTTTGCAATTGCAACTCAACAAGGCGTACTGCTGACAGTTTGGTGTTGTTCTTTCAGAGTTGTTCCTGGAGCAAGTTCTGCAGGTTTCTATTCCCATCTCTGAGGAATTTGAGGCTCTAATGTTTTTGCCCAGGAGACTGATTGCTTAGATTATACTGAGGATGTCTCAACTATGATATCATGAATCTTTCTGTTGTGATTTTAATGAAATCTAAATCAGTGATGCTAAGTGTTCAGGTTTTTTGTTTCGTCTTGTGAATTAGGTTTCAAACTGCGGTGAAACAGATCCAGAGGTCACCAATCTCGCCAGACAAGATCCGGCGAAGCTTCAACGTCTGCATGATCGGTTGACATCAACCAACACTGTTCGACTTTCTGCTGCATCACAGAAGCAAGGGGGCAGTGGGTTGGGAAATGCTGATAGCAGGCTTACACTTTCGCCTGGTAGTCCTTGGAGCAAAGTAAAAAGCACAGAGCAGAGGTCACTGTTTACCAAGAACGGGTCAAACAATGAGCTTCCTAGTAATAGCGTCCAGGTGAGCCTCCCTCTCTAGTCGAGCTCTTTCCTATTGTAATGATATTTGTACTCATCTTCTCCTTCTTGTGCTAATTTGGTTCACTCGATAATTACTGCACATCAAAGAGAATTGCTTTTTCAGTGGATAAGTTGAGAAATTACATCATGAACTTTATAAGACCTGCAGGTCCTGAATAAAGGCAGGAGCACTGTAGGAAACGGGAGGGATAGGTCTACTGATCTTGGGAGTACATTTTCAAGCTATTTTCCACAATCCTTGTGCGTATACGTATGGTTTCTGGAGGCTGCAGACAGTCATCGACTCAACACTCAAATGATGTGGAGCATAAAGGGCAAAATCACCATTTTGACACAGTATTGACCCTCACTTTATATTTCCCATCCCCCTCCGGATAAGCCTTACGCATCCACTTGATAACTCTTCCTTTTCCTTTCTTGAATTTTCTCCTTTTGTCTGATCGGAACCTGTTGAGAAGATGATTAATTTATTAGTAATGCACAAATACTATTTTTCTTTTCTTTCACCTTTTTAGTGTGTTTGACGTTACAGAGCTATCATATCTGTGACGTTGAACACACGTTGAAACGTTGACGTCTCCATGCAACATAATTGCCATCTCTGTTTACATTGTTGCTTAAATTATTGCAGATTGCCTCCTTATTCCCGAGATGCTGCTGACATTGGTTCAGGCTTCACCGAGAGAGTACTTGCATTAAAGGCACTTGCTGGACTTCTTGGGTAAGATGCCGTACATTGGACTCGTGAGTCATATTTTGTTGAAACCTATGTAATCAAGTGAAAACAGTTGCTGACCACGTATTATTTCAGATATCTATTTGTTTCTCCAGGTGCTGGCGCTCGACCTCCTATTCCAGGCCCTGGTGCTCACGACAATGTGGGGAACACGCAATGGGATGTAACACGATCAGAACCCCCTGTGAATATACCAGCAGTTCTATCGAAAGCTCAGATCGAAGGATCTGTCCTTCTTAACCTGCCGTGGGTCTTGGAATTTCTACGTTTGCTTAAGGTATGTGACTGACCTTACAAGGTGTATAGGTTTTCAGCCCATTAGAGACATCCAATTGTTCATGCATACACTTTTCAGTTTTTGATGTTCACAGTTTATCATGCGCTTATCCACAAAACAGTGCACTAACAATTTGGTATTTGCAGGCAGACTGGCTAGCATTATCTCATCCTCAATTCCAGACTATTTTGTTTTCCCTTCGGGAAGTGTATTTGTTGCCAATGCTGAACCCTTTGAGCGAACAGTTCGGGGTAAGGTCTTTCGATGAATTTTATCAGGATTTCCCATTATTGTAGAGTACGGGCAATTTTGATAATTCATCATTTAGAGTGGATGGTAATTTAATTTATTGAACATCTTCATGATCTTAAAGAACCTTGGTAACAAAAATAATTTCTCCTCAAATACGGAAAAGATGTTTCATTTATTTTCAATAATTGAGTACTTACAGATTAAATTACTACAGGTAGGAAGCATTTGCATCCTAGCTTCCTTGGATGCTTTCTTTGAGTATATGGACTTAGCCCCTCACAACAGCGAGTGGTCTAAAAAAGATAAAACAAACACAAGCCCTGTGCAACACAGAGAGGTTTCAAGTGTTGAAGGTGAGGATACAAGAAGACTGTCTGAGATTCAAGCAGACGAACGACCCCTTACCTTCAAGGGCCTGGATACAATGCTGGGAATCATTGATTCCCGTTACATCCAACATTGCTGCCCCTTGCTAATGGTGAGGCTTTTTAGAGGATAATCTCATTCTGATATGTGAACATTGCCGATGAAGTTTATCAGATTCTGTGATTTTCTTCTTTTTTCCTTTACATTACGCCGTGAATTCCACGGGGTTGTGCTTTAGTGTGGTGTTTGAACTACAACTGTCAAGTGCTCCAGTATGCTTAGTTAGCTGATGAACCACGGTAGTGTTTTTCCAATAGATAGCATGTTACTTAAGCACGTAAAGCTCATGTATCTGATGTATCAGCTCACTTTGATTTTTTACAGGAATTGAGGGGTGTTCTGGTTGAGGGGAAGAAGCGAAGGCTAAGACAGCGGGAACCAAACTGGCCCGAAAGCCCTGGATTCGCACGAACACGAACAGTACGGAAAATTACTCCTGTGCAGCGGCCAGGGCCTTCTCAAACCTTAGATATATCAAGTAATTCAGCTAACGGAGAGAGAATCACCACAGAGCATGGCTTTGAATCACAAGACGATCAGCTGAAGTTGAAGCTTCAGGTATTGGCTCTTCTTTAATAGCAGACCACTATATTGTATTTTCTTGTCAAGCATTGTAAGAAAAAATTGATAGATTTTCCTTGCATATGTTTGGAAAAAAATGTGTTTTTATAATTTTCATTTTGTTTGTTTTTGATGAGGCTGATTTATTGCAACTTCATTGGCATTTTTTGTGGTTTGGCATGCAGCGCACATTCTTAGAACAACGACCACAGTTACGAAGAGTGGTTGATTTTGTTGTTGACACTGCTGCTGGCAATGCAGCCCGGGCTGCAGTTTTGAAATTAGTGCCTCCTGCTCTCCAAAGCGCCCAGGAAAAGTTACAGGTTTGTATTCAGATATGAGAATAGTTTTATTTAGGACTTTAGAAAATGTATTATAGAAGTTAAGAAGATCAGCAAATCTGGCTATTGATTCTGCTTATCTGAGGAAGACAATGAGTAAGCTTTAACTTTGGTTTCCACTATTGAGTTGTTTGTAAGGCTCGTACACCTGTGATTGCTTCCTACAGATGGTTCTTAGAGGTAAGGGTGCAGATTCATCTCCAGCAAGTAGTCCATCGTGGAGCAATAGCAAAGGCAGCCAAGTGGAAGCAGCTGTTGAGCATGTAAGTATAATTTCATTTTTCGCTACTTTGGAATATATATCACGGAATTAAGCCTTCGAGAGGAGTCCAAAGGTGACTACTTGTATTCTTGTTTCGAGAACGTGTCAATGGTTTCAGCAAATCAATTCTTTCCTGTTGCCGCGCTATTACAGAAGGGACATTTATGCGTGAGGTTGTTGAAGCATTTTTATTCTCCTGTTGTGAAATCCTCTCTTTTGTTTACAGATCATTACAACCACGATTCACCAGCTCCTCGGTCCTGCTTTGGACTATGTCAAGGGACACGCTAAAGATAGAACAGCTGAAGCTTTGGCGGCGCTTGCTGATCCTGATGAATCTTCTTTTGTACTTAGTGTGGCTGCAGGTATGCAATAACATGAGTCTTCCAAAACGAACCATTTCTGGTCTTTCTCACATGTCAGACATCATATAATGTTTGTTGATGAGTTTTTAGCAAACTTCTTGTCAGCGTTGTGCTTATTTATGCTCCTAATTTTTGCTTTTTCCACAGGTATTACAGCTGAGACTGCAGGACAAGCAGCTTGTCAAAAAGCTCTGGCAAGTATTTCTGGAGAGATCCGGAAGCGAATCACAGATGATGTGGAGGCTTGGCGAAGGAAGAAGATGCAAGAGACTCTTGGAGGATCGCCAACCAACGGAAGCAGGCGAATGCGGGCTCAATCTTGGCCTAGGGCTGCTATGCAACATGTTCCTGCAGAATTTACTCATCAAGTAGATATTGGAAGTGTACAAGAAGCTTCTGATCTTTCTGATGCAGTAACCACTGCAGCTGTTCCTACTCCTAATGTTTGTGTCTCTAGGGAGCCTGGAGATGAAAATTCACATTCCAAAAGCAGCAGGTTTGAGGGAAGTCCGCATAAGGTCAACACTGATCCAGGATTCCACTTGAATGGAATGCCAATCAGGTCTTCAATGCGGACAGCTAAGGCTAGCTTGGCCGTTAAGCGTCAGCTCTCCTTCTCGCTAGAGCAAACGAATGAAAATACAGAATCAGCAAATGGCGTTAAATTGAACTCGGCTGTTATTAAGGGCCAAAATGAAACTAGAGAGAAGCTGGCGAATGGCCTATCACAGCTGAGAGAACTTGCGTCTGAGGAATTGCAGAGCAGAAGATGGTCTTTGGGGTCTTCTTTGGAAGTGATTGGACCAAAGAGATCTGACAAATTGTCCGGTTCGAGAGGAACTGAAGTCGAGGAAGCTCACATGAGAAGGTGGTCTGTGGGATCTTCATCTGAAGGAAAGGGACAGAAGAGACATGATAAATTTTCTAATCACTTGGATAAAATGGAAGAGCAAAATGTAATGATTGGTCATATAAATGATGAAGTAGTCGTAGAGTTGACGGGTTCACGAATGTTTTCTTCTAGGATTGTCGAAGCTTGTAGCAATGCTCGCCATTGCTGCTCAGAAAAACCCTTCAGAGATGAGAGTAGACATTTTCTACGCCAGCACCTTGCAATCATTTGCATTTCCATGGAGGGTCTGCTCTCGCGAATCGAAGGTGCAACACCTACAGGGGGTTTTGATGCCTTGGTCTTCAATCAAGATTCACACTTGCAACGTGCTAGGTGAGTCTCGTACCACCGTACCATGTGGGTTTTTCTTTTTTATTGAATGTTTGTTTTAAATCATGGTCTTTGAGTTTAACCTGGACATTAATATATGATCTTATCATTAGATGACCCTGTTTTAACTTTGTAATTTGAAACGGAAGGCCTTGTGGAGCACCGGCATCACACTCTGTTATTAGTGGTACATCCAAGAGCTCAAAGTTGCAGCTTCAAGTGGAACGTGGTCTAGTTCGGCGATCTGTGGCACTAGCAGTTCATCTGCTTCTATGGGACCCAAGTGCAGTGCTGGACTCTTCTTCTGGTAGTGAGGTGCCTGGGCATGGTGCGACTGAACAGGATTACACTGCCTTGAGCAATGAATTGAGTTCCTCATCTGCTGAGTCTAGAGGAGAGATGACAGAAGGCTCGGATGGTTGTGGGCTCTTCTGCTCTCGAGATATAAGTTCTCCTGGATATTGCCCGGAAGCTGAATGGACAATTTTGCATACACTGATGGTCACCTGGAAGTTGTTGGTTGAAGCTGGGATATTATCTAAAGAGTTTCTACTACAAGAGCTGCTGAAGCCCTGGAGATGGAAACTTGCCATGACCTCACAACCTTGGCAGAGATTCATCGACGGTTTCTTTGAGGATTGGTCAGAAACGGTGCAGAAAGGAATTGCATCCGTATTGATAGGCTTGATTGGATCTGGGAAGGAGGCATTTTCTGAGAAGCATGAGATACTTATTTGTACCTTTGTTAAGGTCATGTCGGAGAGAAACATTTTTTGCGAGAATGGAGTGATTGGGAAGTCTAGAGACACTCCCTTAACTACAACTATGGGCCTGAATCGGAGTGGTTATCTGTCGATGAGCAGTGTTAGAACAAAGCAAGACAGATTAGCCAACAGGACGGAGACCCTTGCGGCTGGTTTAGCTTTGCTCATCCTTCAACACTACTTTCCGGAAGTATGTTTCGATGAAAATAGAGTTGAAATTAGCCAGTCCTTCAAAGACGCCGAGGGGAGCTTCATCTCCTTGCGGAAATTGGTACAAGAACTTATTCCAAGAGTGTCAATGTAAGTGTTGCACTCTTACTCATTATTCACGCTTTAAGATTTGTTGCTTGATTTCGACACGTGCTCTTACAGAAAATTTATTAACATATGAAATGCAGGAGTAATTTACCTATTCGAACAAAATAACACAGCATGTGTGTCTTTTACTTACCATGGATTTGTATTGTACTTAATAAAAATATTTGGAACCAGGCAAGCCTGTCTTAGGCATGTATATGATGTGAATTGATGTTTATTAGTCACGACCAGCAGAATCTAAAAATCAGCTGTTTTGCAGGTCATAACGTCAGAATAGGAGACTTTTTCTCTTCAAGTGTACTATAGTTCAAGCCTGTCCAAGTAGCAATATTATGACTCTGTAGAACGCATCAAGTTGGATTCGTATAGGTGACTTGCATTCCCCTGATCCTTATGCCTTCTCTTCTCGTTGGTTAAAATCTGTTGTTCACCAATTACTGAAACATTAGTCTATCCAACTATTGATGTAGGCGGAGTCAATAGATGTGTTTTCAGTTACATTTTTCTTAAGAGAATTTACTGGCTCCTTGCGCTGCTACTTGATGGTAGTGCCATGTATTTGAACAGTTTCGAAGCACTGCTGTATTTAATTGAGATGTAGACTTGTTGCTTTTTCGGCAGGTAGACTTCTGACTTGTCAGTAGTAACTGACGTAGAGCTGTTCCCGCAGTTGCAGATCTGTACATTGCGTACTATTAGAATCTGATCAGGTACTAAAATCCTGACCCTGATATCTAAGGCACTCTTCAGTTGCTATTGTTCCGTCTTTCACATAACGTCAATTGCTATTGTTCCCTAGCTATTGGCGTCAATTTATGAAATTATTGTAGTCATGAATGAGAATTTTGTTTAACTTTTGATGTGTTGCATGCAGCTGATTATTGATTTAAGTCCAGATCTTAGAGTTGATAAAGTTTTATTGGTGAAGGGAATGAAATGGGCAGGATTGCATCACCGATCTACTTAATCACCATTCCTGCCAAAGTAGGAGATCCACGATGCTTAACAACCGATGCAAGCTTTCTAAGGAAAAGTTTGTGATAAGCAAGAGAGATGACAAGGGCAATCCCCACGATTATATTCACGTTTTTATCATCTGGTAGTTAGGCTTGATGGGTGATCTTAGCAATATCGTTTTATTTGAGATCAGATTACGCATCAAATCTCCAGAGGACAGAGATGTGTATTTGGAAGCTCTAGGGTGTAGACCCCCTGCTTGGTACATGCTATCAGCAACGACACTGGGACATTTTTGTAGTATTATATTAAATATGTCGCACAGTTCAATGTTGTATTTAGTAACAGCCTTGCAACTCGCGGAAGAAAGATATGATTTTGTGCTTAAAGAACAGGTATAATATGTAGAAAAACAATTCTAACTACACAATCGTATAGGGGAATGTGGAACGGAAACGCTGTCATTTTCACCTATTACTGTTAACTTTAGATAAAATTTAATTGATGCAACATGGTTATGAGAAGTGACGGCATTATCAAACCAAGTTAACATTTGTTGAACATGATTTAATTTAATCACATGCTGTGGCGGACGACGATAAATCTACCTCTTAGTTCTCTGCTCTGCTATCTTTTCTGCCAGCTTAACATAAAAATCAGCTGACAGCATATCTTTCACTTTTACTTTGAATTGTAGGCTTGCCTCGTAAGTCTGAATAATAGATTCTGGAGACACCAGCAGACCCAGAGCTCCTAAGACACGAACTGAGTTTGCAAGCCTGCAAATTCTTTCTCTTACTTCGAACTGCACAGCACTTTCACCCTCTGCAGCAGAAGCTGATGTGACAACTGACCCAGAACGCTTATTGTCTTTTTGTCCAGGCGCAGAAGTACCAGCTATCCAAATGAATCCATTACAGCCCAAAATGAGATCCACACCGAGATCCTTGAGTTGATGGAAATGTTGTTTGAGTCGTTTGATCAAATAGGGTGCCACCTTCACCAACTGCCCATTCCCTAGCTGTCATGTGTCCAAACCAAATAGCTTAAGAGCAATTACCGTATACAAAACCCCTAAGACTTGTAAAATGAAAGTAATACCTAACACATAAGAGCAATTCTAAAACCCTGACAATCGGACAGAATTTTTACAACAAAATGCCTCTCAAGTCTTGCAATCTAAATGAATCTTAACGGTAAAATCAATCACCTTGCCATACTTGAGGCTTCGTGTGTGCAAGTGGAGGGACCCGTCTTGATGCAAACTCTGTACTTCAGCCTGGTTTCAGAAAATACTGTGAACACCTCGCATCTGAGAAACATTCCCTCTAAGATCACAGCAGAAAAGAGCTAGATGAAGTACTATCGAGATGTCTTTAATATGGACTTGGCAACACCTAACAAGATGGCTGAACTTCTGCATATCTGAGAAGCCCTTACACTGATGAGGTCATTTTCTACATACAAATCGCGCATATTTAATTCATCAATGGCGGTGCGCCTTCTCTGCAGCGACACGTACAAATACAGGAACATTAGAACAAGAGATTACACTTTCAAAACTGAGAGTGATTCGAAGAACCAATAGAAGAATCCTAGAAATAAGGAAGACAGAGATTCGATGCATCAAGAGACCAGTTACACTACCTGGATACCACCGGGTAAATTGACAGCAGCTAAAAGTAATTCTGCATCCTTTCTTGAGTTCACGTCCACTTTCCATCTATTGCCACCGACCTGAAAATGTTACAGACAACAATCGAATACAAATCGATCAGGCGGTACAATGTAATCATATCGATTCCATAAAGAAGAGGCTTCGGCATTCCTTAACAAACCCAATAGTACTTCACTTACAAAACTTTAGACACACACACACAAAACAATATTAACAGGGTTTTAATTAAACTGGCGCAATTTGAGAGCCTTTTCTCATTTTGAGCTGGTGAAAAATGGGAAAAGGTCTTTAGTGAGTAAACGTGAAGAAAAAGGCCCTCAAATTTGAAACTACCAACCTCGGTTACACGTCCAACCACCACGTCCCCAGTCTCTGCATTGTATCTGCCATGCACACCAACTCAGAAATTCCCACAAACTCAAGGAAAAAAAGATACTATCAACTGAATCTTAGAGCTAATAGGAAGAAATACTCTGATATAAAAAATAAAAAAAAAAAAAAAAAAAAAAAGAACATTCCGGAGACCTGGCTCGCAGGGGGCGCACCGACACCAGCCTGTTAACCCGCTCCACAACCCCACACACAGTTGCAAGAAGCTGTTCGTTCACGGGCTGAGTCCCGTGACCTCTACAACCAAGTATCATCGCAAAATCAGAATTACCAATCAAATCACAAACAGCACCAACACACTACGTATGCAGAGGAGAATTGCAGTATAACATCAGCATGATTCAAAAAAAAAAAAAAAAAAAAAAAAAAAAATCATCTTCATGAAGAATACAACTCATTCGAAACCACAATAGTAGGATGGAACGCGACTCAGTTCCCTAATCCAAACTCGTATGGCATTACCCAAAAAAAGCAGCAGGGAATCACTTGCCTCAGGAAACCAGCCTCGTGGTCGACGGGGATCACATCACCCACATTAACAAACGCGGTGGAGTGCAAACTCCCCGCAGCATTGAGAAGCAGCTGCTGCGCCCGAGAAATGCGTCGCTCATGATCCACTCCCAGTTCCAGTCCCTTCATCTTTTTCTTCCAACCCTACCAACCGTACGCTCGAGATCGATCCGCAATTACATAAGTTTCAGCAACACAAACTCACACATGCACCTCCTCCTCCAACACCAACAATTCCTCCTGGAGCTTCCATAGCCATGGACCTCGCAGGGGTTAGGGTTTAGCGGGGAGCCTGCACGGCAAGGCAAACCGAAGGATGGATGAAAAACGGACGAATGAATCAGCGGCCGGGTCTGTTGGCGGATGGATGTATGGCTTCATCGATGAATACTTCGTGGTTGTTCTGTGGATGAATGAAACGTCGTATCTTTATACAGATATACTGTATTTTGCTTTCGTCTTGGTCCGTAGCTTGCAACTGAGCTTTTTAAAGTGTGATACACCATCATATTCCCATTTATTTTTGTTGGGTCGTTGTATGCAATTTTCTATGCAGGAATCTACTGTGTTTGGGAACTGATATGTCTCAGTATCATTGCTTTTTAAAATAATTCTGTACATTCCATTCAATAAAGTTTCAAGACCACAATAATTTTGTTAAGGTTTTCTAAGGTTTGATTATTAAAAATATTATATATATATATATATATATATACAGATAGATAGATAGATATATATATATATATATATATATAGATATATATATATATATATATAGAGAGAGAGAGAGAGAGAGAGACTCTTGTGTATTTATGGTTTTGTGTGTCACATTGTATAGTGAAATTTTATTTTGTATACAAATAAATAATTTAATATTTCATCATTAGTTGAGACCTCAAAGTTATCAAATTAAAATAAGAATGATGAGTACTAAAATTGTATAACCAATAAGAACTTAAACAAATCAAGCATAGAGGTAGTATTTTTAATGCTTTGAAGACATTTGATACAAGTACTTTATAATTTGTAATCAAAAATCAAAATTTTGAATTCAGCTTGTATGTTTTAACTGAAAAAACATTGAACAACAAATGTGTTGAAAACCATTACTAGTTACTATTTTGATCTTATTGTGTATATGTATTAAAGGTTAATTATAATTTTATATATTTTAATAAAAATAAACTACTATTTATATTCAAGTACTATCTTATAATAATTGTAAAGTTTTATATGATTTTAGATAATTAATCTACATAAAATCCAACGAATATGAATTAAAATATAGTAATAGCTTATTTATATATACAATAATAGATTAGTAAGGTCAATGTAATAATATTTATTATATGCTATAGCTTTACTATTAATAATATTAAATTAAATAATTAAAATACATAATTTATTTATTACATTAAAGTCATAAAGGTAAAGGTTCTATTTTTTTATGTAATATATATATATATATAGTTATATTAGTTCTAAAATCTATATTATTTAACTATTTATTATTTTAAAATATGTTAAATTAATATAACTAATTAATAATTTTATATCTTACAAATACATCTTATACATTTTTGTTTATATAATATAATTTTAGGTAGGTTAATCTCTTTTAGTTATTGTTTAATATTTTTAAATAAATTATGATTTGAATATTTAAATTTACGTATATCCAAAAATATTTAATTTTGTATAATGCATCTTATTTGAATTATTTACACAGATTTAATGCTTAATAAAATTTCATCATCCTCTCTTAGAAATATAGTACTTGGTATGTGTTGTTTACAAGTGTAGGATAAATATTCTAAAAGAGACAAAATATGATATAATTACTTATTCTACTTAATATTTGTATTTTTTATTGTATGTTTTCAAAAGTCTTACATGTTTTTATTGAGCACAACATGAATAGTAAATGTAAGTTTCTATTGCAAAATAAATACTACGCATGTATATATTGGTATTGAATGTTTAAAATAACCATAAACAAAAAGATTGATGTCATTTGAATTTTTGAAAATATTATTGATAATGATAACTTAAACAATCCCACAATAGGAGTTTGTCACGGACACAGAAATACAGGCTCGAGATCTAAGAAGAAGTTCAAGAAGAACTGGCAAGAACTAGATTAATCAGATGAATACAAGAACAATACCAGAGAGGTGAGCTAGAACTCCAAGAGATGTGTTGTTGAGACTGAAGAACTCTTCAGCCTCGATTCCAATATATACTCCTATTTAGGAAGCTTCTCAAGCAACTTCTACTAACTAGGAAGCTTCTCAAGCAACTTTCACCAAGTAAGAAGCTTCTTAAGCAACTTCTATCAACTAGGAAGCTTCTCAAGTAACTTCCACCAATTAGGAAGCTTCTCAAGCGACTTCCACCAACTAGGAAGCTTCTCAAGCAACTTCCACCAACTAGAAAGCTTCTCAAGCAACTTCCACCAACTGGGAAGCTTCTAGAAGGTTCTAGAAACTTGTCTTTAGAAGGTTCTAAGGACTATGTCCCTATCACCCCCTCCTTTAGCTTCGAGGTCTCTGAAAAGCAATATTATTGTTAATCAGTACAAATATAAGAAAATGAAGATCTGTCACATAACGTCTGCTATGAACTCCAACTGTTGTTCACGAGGTGAGTGGTTAATCGATCCTTGAAGCCAACGGTAGAGGCCCACGCCTTAGACTTCTCACCAAGCATGAACTTCCATGTCTTCATTATGAAATTGTCTTGCAAACACGCCTTCTGGCTGACCATCGTAAGTAGGCTCGAATTCAAATACAATCACCAATGATCGGTTACTCGGTATCCTCTATTGTCATCGTGGTATAGGCAGTTCTTAATCTCGGGGTCGCCTTCGTGAGCTAGTCAATTGAGATAATTTGACTGGCATAGTATCTATCTCTTGGCTATCCATATCAGAAGACCATTGAAAAAATTCTACTTTATCAATTATGAGTTTTGGTGGTGCTCTCCCCCTTTCTTATATTCTTGGATGAGCAAGCTTCAGAAAGAAGCTATCGTCGAATTAGCTTAGGTTTATGAAGATGTTGTTGATGAAATTCCTATACCTTTTGTGGCGCATTGGCAAAATTTTCAGCTGCTTCCTACGTTCGCTCATTAATATCGTAGCTGCACCAATGAACAAGATACTCCAACTTGCCCCACCTTTGCCATGAATCTAACACCTTTTCGAACTCATATTTCTCGTGATTCTCGATCTCAATACTAGGTGGCGGACATTGCAGTCTTCGAGAAAAGAACAACTCTCGATAAGGCTCCAACAGAAAAACATGAAAGACTGGATGTACCTTCATAGAAGCCGATAATTCTAGATGGTATGCCACTGGATTGATTTGCTTCTAGATGATAAATGGTCCCAATCTTCGATAGTCCAACTTATCACATGGTCACTTGGTCTTGATATTCCGTCGAAGAAGCTATGCTTTATCTCTAATTTTGAAAGTAGGTGCTTGATTCCGAAATCTATCTGTAGATGCCTTGTAGGATTCTTGAGCGGATTGTAATTGAAGCTTCAACGTAGTTTGAAGCTCTAATAGTTGCTTCGCAAATCCTTCAACTGCTGAATTGTTATTTGTTGACGAACTCAATAAATCAAGCTTTGGATGATATCCATAGTTGGAAAAGAATGGTGTGTATTGAGTCGACGCATGGAGGGTGTTGTTATATGCAAACTCGGCTAGCGGCAGATATGCGGTCCAATCGTCTTGCTGATAGTTGATGTTGCCTCATAAGTATTGTTCCAAGACTTGGTTCACCCAATCTGTTTGGTTGTCAGTTTGAGGATGAAAAGTTGAAGAAACCTTCATATCCACCTTTAGTATCTCAAAAAGAGATCTCCAAAACTTTGATACAAACTGGGTTCCTCGATTTGATACGATATCATCAGGTAGTCTATGATATCGATACACATTATCAAGAAAGAGCCTTGTTGTGACTTTAGTGGACGATGTCTTCTTGCAACGAACAAAGTGCGCCATCTTTGTAAGCCAATCTACCACGACAAAGATGTTGTCTAATGAGTTCGATGATGGAAGGTCCGTGATGAAGTCCATGGAAATTGAAGACCATGGTCAACATGGAATCGGTAATGGTTGTAGAAGTCCATAAGGGTGATTTCGAGGATTCTTGGATCTTGAACAGATGTCACAGGAGAGGACAAAATCTTTCACATCCTTCCATATTTGGGGCCACCAAATATCTCGAGAAATAAGCTCCAAGGTCTTGTTGAATCCAAAATGTCCCGCACCTGGAAAATCATGGCGAGATTGAAGAACTCGAAGTCGTGCTAGTCTTTTTGAGATATACAAGTGTTCTTCAAAGTATAAAAGATCTCCCTCCACCTTGAATTTGTCGTCATTGGCATGTTGCTTAATATCAATGGCTACTAAATCTTTAATGGTCGCGACACGTACTTGATTCAAGAAGTCAGCATCAATTGGCACAATAGTAGCGCAAAGCCGAAATTGCTCTAGCTTCAACAACGTCGTACATTGTTGATCAAACGCTGCTTCTCTAGCCTTTGGTACAAGATTCAATCTCATCTATAAGGCATCGGATAGTCCTTGCTGCTTTTCACGTCGATAAGTGATAACAAAATCGAATCTGGATAGCAACATACTCCACCGAGCTTGACATCGATTTAAAACTCGAGCCGACATGAAATACTCCAAATTCTTGTGATCAGTATATATGGTCACTAGATGTGCAGCTCCTTCAAGAAAATGACGCCATTCTTGGAAAGAATCCACTAAAGCAAGAAGTTCCTCATCATAGATCTGATAATTGATTTCAGCACCAAAAAAACTTTCGAGAATAAAACAAGATGGAACTTCTTGTCTTCTTCCATTTGTGAAAGTACAGCTCCTGAAGCCAGATCCAAAGCATCAGTTTCTAAATAAAAGGCCTTTGTAAAGTCTGGATGTACCAAGATTGGAGCCATAGTAAATGCTGTCTTCAGGTCTTGAAACGCCTTCTCTACTAGAGGTCTCCATTCTAGCTTATCCTTGCATGCCAATCAAGTGAGAGGAGCAGCAACTTGAGATTAATTCTTAATGAACATTTGATAAAAGTTAGCAAAGCCAAGAAAGCATTGTACATCTCTAACCGCCTTTGGAACCTCCTAGGACACGATTGCTTCCACCTTCTTAGGAGCCATCTTCAAGCCTTTTGTAGTCGCAACAAACCCCAAAAACTCCATGTCTATTTGGTGAAATAAATACTTCTTCAACTTGGCATATA